ATAGCCGACGAGAGAAAGGCGGAAAGCAACCTTCTCTCGTCGGCTATGTAGGATGGCCGGCTATATTAAAATAATGCGTTAAAAACTCTTCCCCACCGCCGCGGGGCCTGCACAGGAGGCTATGCTTTCTTACTCTTTAGTCTTAGTCTAATCATTCACCACAGACGATCTGACAATCAGTTCTGTCCCTTCTCGATTTCTGTATTTCTTAACATTTCTCTACTTAGTGTCATGCCAGTCGGTTTTCTGATTCATCATATTATCCTTCCATCTCCCTGTGCTATTCCTTGCATGATGATCCTGATGACTGTGACATGTGGCCATACAACTTTAGCTATGTGTAATGCATGTATGTACAGTACATGGTATGTACATCTGTGTCTGTATAGCTGGTATAATCATCCTTCGGCGTAACACACCAGCTTTGCAGGTACGCGGCACGGCGTCAGCTTGCTATGTCACACCAAACGACTTGTTACAGTTGTTACACTCAATCTTTGTACATTTAATTGCAGGAGTTGTTTAAAGCTTGCTAGTGATAATGTGGTGATTGACATATCACACATGTTTTGGTCATTGATTGGATCATTACCACGAGCAAAGAAGTAAATAAATAAACAAACAAACAAACACCTATGGGAGGATGTCTGATCCCTGGTTGGTGGAAGTTGTTTTCGCGTGTCCGTGGGCTCGGACTGAGCCTCCCCGGCGCACCCTTTCTCCGTATGCTGTCTGACGCCTCGTGTTGCACAGACCGCTCAGCTGACTTGGAGTACCTGTTAAGGAAAATGGAAATTCAACAAATTTGTCTTCACTAATATGTATATCAATCAGCAGTTGAAATGTCTGACTGTTTCCAAAATCATACCCAGTTGCTTGAGTAACTGTTTTTTGGCACAGTCGAACCGCAGACCGCTATGCGCATCGGTTCTGCGCAGCTCTCTCTAAGATCTCGTTTAAATCTCGCGCTTCTTTTCCAAGGTAATGTAATCCGCGAGAATCCGCGAGAGTTTACTACTGTTTACTGTTTCGCTTGTAACTCCGATTTGCGTAAGTGTTTCCTTGTCATACGTTAATGTGAGATGTAAGAAGGGCCGGCGTCACGCTTAAGGTCGTAGATGTACATTACCGGTGGTGTTTGTTGGAGAAACGAGGTTTCAAAGTTGACCGTGTATGATGGAGATGATTCCACTCGAGATAGGTACCCTTTAGTTTTTTTGGGGGCAAACCCGTTTGCCCTACTTCATCGTCGATTTGGTGTATTGTTTAACAAAGTATAGACCCTCCCTCATCTATCGTGTGTTGTTTCTTTTGGGATCCTGTAGTTGTTACAATGTAATAACCGATAGTAAGTTGGGCTTATTCAGTCGAATTCTCAACGATTGTTGTTCGAATCGCAAGCTTTTGCAACTAGTTCTAACCAATACACCTGTAATGTAAGATATGGCTGAAATATGGTTATGTTGGCTTGACACCTGTGTACTTAGTTTTGAAGTTGCACAATGTGTATTGCAGCTCGACCTTGAGAAAAGTGTAATTTCTTTACAGTTTCTTTGCCTTTAAAAATGTTCTGTTAAAAGTTATATAGAAAAAAAAGAAAGTGAAAGAATATCGACCAAATAGTAAGTTTCAAAACGATACCCACTTTACGGGTGAAAACAGAAGAGAAGGAATTTGGGCATGAACAAATACAACAACAGGTTGATTTTTCATGACCTAATTTTTGAAGGAGAAATCGGACACTATGACCTGTCACTGTAAATATACAAACATCGGGCATATGTACTGACATTGGTATAGTTGCACATGAATCCCACTTTCTCTAGCGTCTTCATGATATAAGTCTGACTTGGAATGGGCTTCAGAAAGTCTGTTTGTGATTACAAAACTTGATTCCTTCTTTTTGCGAACTTTCGCAAACAGGGGTTGAAAGTTGCAACATTGTTGGCGGCGCGAAAAATGGAACGCGCTGCCTTGGTTCCATGAATCGAACGCAGGAGTTCGAAACCGATTGACTTCAAATTTGACGATTTTTGAATGGTCAGAACCTTGTATTAAATTCCTCTTTTTGTCTATAATTGAATGTTATCATATCACTTATTATATTGCATGTGGTAGCCACATTCAGACAGTTTCTCGTACCAAAAAACGAATTTTATGACATTACGCGAAATGTATCAAAATGTAGCGGAAACTCAGGATGGTGTGTGTCAGTAGCTTACAACTGGGCTAAAATTTGACCACCGCGATGTGCGCATCGTCACAGTTTTTTTGGGGGCAAACCCGTTTGCCATAAAATTTACCAGGGGTCATTGGTATCAATGTAAAGGTAAAGAAGTAGGCTATCACACTGTGGTATTAGCTAACGGGATCCAGTTAAATAGTAAAAAAGACAAGCACAAATAAAATGACCAAAAATTGCTAATTTTTGGAAGGCAGTAGCGCTCGCTGTCATTTTGCAATGCACGAAATATCTACATGGTTGTACTGGGCAAATCCTGTAGATATGAAAAAATGTAAACATTGTGTAGGTCTGAGGTCTTTTTGCTGCACTATAGGCAGTTGTTTACACCCATGCAACGGGGTCAAATCGTGACCCGGCAAACGCCGTATCTTAGAGAATAACGCGTTCTACGGTGACCTGCGGTTGGACTGGGCATGTCTTATTACCTGGATGTCTGACCTTCACTGACATACCTGTTAAGGAGTTCTGCCTGCTCCTGGAGAAAGTTTCTCCCCAAGGATCCGGAGGGGATGGAGTCACTCCCACCTGCAGCACCTGAGAGAAGGGATGGTTTAAAAGTGAAAGTTTATTAAAACTAATAAATAATAAAGTGTTTAAAATTTAAAGTTCAAAAGTAAAAAGTTCACTGCAAGGCCTTATCTAAGAGCCAGTTACATGATGGGAATACAAGTAAAACAGAAAGTTAAAACTGAAAGTTTAAAACTAAAAGTTCATAGAAAGTTGTAAATAGGTATACACCAGAAACACGTCTTTTTCAGTCACATAGGAATGGTATTTTCCAAATTCAATCCAGTTGCTGGAGTATCTGTTTTCTTGGTATCCCATTACCTTCACTGGTGCACCAGAAATGTGATGTCCCTGCCAATAACACAAGTTTAAAACTTTTATTCTTATTGATTTCCAATCTTTAGAAAACCAATTACAATAGGTGGACAATGCTTAAGTCCTACCTTGTCTTCCACTGTTGTAATGCCCATCTGTTCCATTGTAGCTCCCGTTTCTGTGGAGTTTCTTGTTTCTATCTTCTAACACTGGAGTAATCATGAACATGGAGTTAGGCACAGTTGTAAAATACGCATGCGTATCACAGTTAAAGTAATATAGTATATTCTAGTATATTTGTACTCACTCCTCACAAATACATGCAGTAAGAAAAGTACTTTACATTGGTAAATTGCTGGTTGTAAGTATTAAACTTGCTGAAAAAAGGAACCAGCATTCTAGTCTAGACTCCGTCTTACATTCATTCACTCACTCAGTCTCCATTTACACATTGTTGTACACACACATATACTGATTACAAATTACACATTTACATGTATTATCATCTATTGTCATCTATTGCTGTGCGTATTGAAACAATGTTGAACTAGAAAGGTAACTTTGGTGACCCGCCCTCCAACTCCTGCCACTTGCTACATAATGTAATCCAACACCACAGGATGTCTACTACAGCACCAGGTACCATGGTGACAGCCATCTGGTCCAGGTGATTGATCTTACGTGTTTGGAGAAGAAGAAGAAACAGAGCAAGAACAAGATATTTTCCTTCTGCAAAGGCACACATAAATAATCTTTGCCCTACCTTCATCTCCGCCCATACACTCGGCAGGTATGGCCCCTCCCAGAGGCACCAGTGCTGCGTGGTCCTTCCTGGCATGGAACAGTCTCTCTCCCTCGTACACACCAGAGCCATTTCCTACTGGGTTATCCTGCCAGAACAACAAGGATTCAGCTTTGGGCCATGACAATTTTATGTAATGGTTCTCACCTCTTAAATAAAAGCAATATGCTGAAAAACAGAGTCAGCTTTTCTTTTCTTTTGTTATCCTAAAGGCAATTGAGGTAATGCATGACACTTTTTCAAGTAGCTAGCTAGTGCAGTGTCACATGTAATGCAATGGCTCATGTTTTTAGCCAAGCACACACACACACACACACACACACACACACATATTCACACACATACACAAACACACACACACACATACATAAATACATTTGTATACACACACAGACAGACACACACACAAACACAAAGGAAAAGGAAGTCTTTTTCCTCAAATCAAATCACTTCCTTACCTACCCAGACATTACATCATGAAAATCCTGGAACCATTCACAGCATTTTGCTTATTGTATTGACAAAGTAACAACAAACAATACATTGTTGTTGTTGACATGCCTTTGTTAACATCTAAAATAGTCTTTTGCTTGCTCTTTCTGTAGGTGCTTAAAATACCTTAGCTTATTATCAAAGGTAGTAGTAGACGTAATGACATGTTTCACACCACCATACTCACCAGTTCAATCCCGACATAGATGTCCCCTCCGTGCTTCAACAGTTTTCCTACATACTTCACCACACCCCCTTCCTGACTCTCCTTCCCGTTTACTTCTGTAAATATAAAAACTCTCATGCCAACTTTCAGCGGCAGCTCTGACAGTTCCTTCTCCGATAGGGGAACGGCTTTTGAGATGTTCGTTTTCTTAGACGCGCTGTTGGGAAGGTCTCGTAGGTGGTCATCTCGACGTAGACGCAGTTTGTTTAGAGCTACAAAAACACCGCAGTCTTCTGGGCAAGTAAAGAACCGTTTTCTTCTAAATGTGCCATCACTCGTGCCTTTTCCTTTGGAGTCCTGTGGTGAAGATACAGGCAAGGCTTGACGTAAACAAAGTGTGAATACAAACATTTTAAACTATGAACTAATACTAAGGGACACTGAAGATATTATCACTACATTTTTACAAGAGACTTGTTTAGAAAAAAAATCTAGAAGTCTCTGGCTTTGGTCCAAGTGTAGCTGGACCATTGCCAACAAAATGCCAAGACATTTAAATGCACCAACATTTATTCTCTGGCTGTCTTTCTCTTTCTATTTCACCACAAGTCGAAATGTGGGGGTTCTACCAAAGTCTAACTAATGGTAATGAGGTCAAATGACGTTCCAAATTTAAAATTAGATTGGCCAGTGTTTCAACTAATGTTTGTGTACCTGAAACACCAAGTTCTAGAGGTTAAAAACATTTCTATGGTTGGTATCAGTTCCTGTGTACTTTTAAGTGAGAACAGTTCCGGATTTAAGCTGAACTAGATCACGTGAAAAAAGACGTGAAATGTCGTCAGGGGAATCCCAAAACTTGTTGATCAACCAAAAACCCGTCCTAGCATGCCTGTACTCATACATAACAAAAATTTGTCTGCAATACCAGATGTTACAATGCTGAAACAGCTTGCTGACATTACTACAAGAATAAGGGAACACTTTTAGTTGCTTTCCTATAAAAAAAACGGCAAAATCTACTTGTGTACGACGGTGCGTAACCAGTGAAAGAATACGTCAACAAAAGCAGTACAAAGGTAATGCAATAAAAGCAATCGAAAGGTGGGGAGGGGGGCAAAGTCCTTAGCGATGGAAGCGTCGCAATTTTGACTAGAACTCACCAACAGTTCGACTCCAAACGTGATCCCGGAGAATCCAGGCACGTTTCCCCTGTATCTGACAATCCCTGGCACATCTGTGGGCACTCCTTGGATGGAAACTTCTACCACTGAGTTCACGTTAATCTGAAGCCCCTCCTCCAAACGTTCCTTGTCCTCATACAACACAAACCTGTCTTTACACGTCGGTATGGCGATTAGTAAGTCCGCCTCCTGCCCTGTAATAGCCGCAACATCCTTCGTGGGACACTCTAGAATCAAGTTATGGTTCTCCAGAGAGCGTAACGTTATTTTCTTGCCGTTTCTGGCTGTATCTGGGTCCTCTATAGCCTCGAAAAGCGACCCCGGTAAGGACTGCGTGTGTTGGTCCCTGTGGTGATGCAGCGCTAGGGAGCTCAAGCGGCTGGATTTAGTCTTCACTGTGTGGTCCTTGAGAAGAATGAACTTCTGCCCACCGGCCCGGTTATCCATGGTTTGTCGGCGAACCCTGTAAACTGCAAATTTTGAACGTTTTTTCACCACCCAACTTTCGATCAGACCAACCAAGATGGCGTCCGAATCTGGAAATCACCTAGTGATGACGTCATCGCAGGCTGAAGGCTGTGTCTTGACTGCAAATCTCAAATTTGAAGAATGACGAGCAAAAACTCTTGTCAAACTCGGTAAAATCGCCGCCAGGTACCTATAGATCTTCTCTACGTGTGACCCTGAGTCACCTAGAATTTTCCGGAATGCTTCCTCGTATAGCCACGAAGTCTATACTAATAGCATGACGTCAAGGGGATTCCCCTAACTCACTCATCTCAAAGCACCGAAACTGGAAAAGTACAAACACTTTTTTCGCATCTCTGGGTAGTTAAGGAGACTAAAACACCTGTTCCTCATCGTGAAAGGGCAATTACTGGAACAATACATTGTTTATTTACTTTTAACAACTCACAATGCCTTTCAATCAAATTCAAACACCATCCCAAATTAAATGCCTTCCCTTTCAAGTGTTGTACCGAGGTACAATGTAATTTTTTCACGCGTTTGAAGAACAACCATCACACATTTCAATCGCACAAAAACTAATCTTTACTTGGTTTGGCTGTCGAAAGATGGATGGAGACCATCTGTTTAGATGGAATGTTTTGCTACAAGTCCAAAGAATCAAGATTAGAAAGGGGGTTACCGAACGTTCATAGGGTAGGGTCAAATTACACAAAAGAACAGAAGAAAGCGTCATGACGCCGCGACATGTTATGACTTGCAAAATTGATTCCAAATCGATTACATAGTAATGTAATACTTTCTCTCTGGGCGTATCATGGAACGGGAAATTTGTAAGGGGAACATTTCGGAGCGTTTTAAGTTTCGGTGACGTTTACCGAAACTTTAACGCTCTGAAACTTAGAATAAGCTTTATTATCCTTTCTCGCCCAGCCGGCCCAGTTTCGGTCGACTTCTCTGACACTGAATGGTTTCAGTCGATCGGTAGACGTTGTAGGAGACAGGATATTCTTTGTTTACGCAATAATATCGCCGATTAAGTTTCGCGCTGGGTAATACCCAGGGTTTCGGTACAGACACTTGCAGACAGGTGCATTTGTGTGGTGCGCTGAAAGCGCCACTATGCGAACTACAGGAGTACTACACGTCAGTACTTTCCTTGGAAACTTAAGTTTATACGGTGACGATTGTAAAATGAACAGGACACACAAAAAACACAGCACACAGTTACTTTAATATATATAGATACCTTTTTTTCACAAGAAAATACAAAATATGACATCATGGTGAAGCCAAACCACAGAACACTGCACAAAGGGTGCCCAGACTCCCCCCTTTTCTTTACACTGGGTCTTCATGGCATATAACACAGTAGGCATTGGGAACTGTAAGAGTTGCATAGCCTCTACCAGGCTTCGGAAAGCGGCTGGAAAAAGTAGAAGTCAGCCAAATAGAGAGATAGCATGCCAGGAGAGTTGGTATGCTGGAGAGAACTGTTTGCCACTGCAAAATGCTCTCTCCAGCGGACCAACTCCCTTGGCATGTTATCTCCCTATTTGGCTAATCTCTACTCTTTCCAGCTACCTCCCAAAGCCTGGTAGAGGCTAAGAGTTGCACTGGGTGTATATTCTTTGTTACCTCCATGAAAAATGGAGGTATTGTTTTTGGCGTGTCTGTCTGTATGTATGTATGTCTGTGTGTGTTTCCGCAGCTTTGTGGTCAGCATAACTTCAGAACGCCTCTATGGATTATGATGATATTTTGTGTGTTGGTAAGTCTTAGGAAGACAAACGTCAAGGTCAAATATGGGCCTACTGGTGGATGACCTTGGTACTGCAGCAGAACTTCCGGTTTTTGTATCTTTTGTCCTGAACATGCTATGGTCTTGATGTTTTGGTGACAGATTGCTTTTCATGTCAGGAATAAGTGGTGTGAGTTTGGTCCCCCTAGCAGCTTGTTCTGGAACTGCAGGGCACTTTCTGGCGAAATGTTTAAAAGCCAATAAGTCCAGATAGGAACAACATATTTTCATAATTTTTGGTGTGTAGGTAGCTGAGAGAGAGATGTACATGATTAAATGCAAATTATGCAAATGAGAACTTTATTTGCATAATTAATGAGGAAATTTTATGATACTACTTTGACATGTAATGTATGTAACCTTTGGCAGGCAGAACATCAACAGATACTAATTATGCAAATGACCTAATTTGCATAATTTATGCAAACATTCTATGATTTCTTAATGGTGAATAATGGGAATGTCATACTTAGGACATCTGTAAGTTAATCAAAAGTTAACATACATCACGATGCATATATCATGTTAATGCGGAGGTAATTTGCATAATTAAAGAGGAAATTTACATTTACATATCAAGCCCATATTTCATGGAGGTATGAAGTCTCGGAATTCTTGTTTGCTACAGTTTTTGCACAGAAATCACCTTCCCTTGCTTATCTATTGGGCTAAGTACTCTACTAGGTCATGCAACACTGCATATACAGCTGTGTACTGGATAGAACTATACATTTGAACTTGGAATGTGACTTATTTTTTTTTACCAGATGAACTTGAGTTCATGATTGTAGGAAACTCCTTGAAAGGTAGCAATAATTTGAGTTTGTGGAGTCATTTTAGAAAGATGTTTCTTGTACACAAATTGTCATCCAGTTTGATCTTATATGGATAATTTTTTTGTTCCTATCCCAAAATATCTTGTTTCTTTCCTCAGATGAACTATACAATAGGACATGTGGCTGACATTCCATTACAAATACAATTGTAACCCCAAATCACAAAGTCACTATCAATAATATCAAAGCCCTTCCTAAAAATACCAAAAATGAGAGAATATTACAGCATTCTGTGTACCACAACAAACTTCAATGTTTTGTTGAACAAAAATCTCCACAGATTTTCTATACAAAGTTGTTTCGTACATTTGCTATGGCATATTGTGTGTGTACAGCTTTGCTAAACCTATCAAGTACAGTATACAGACGTCAGCTCAGCTCAGAAATCCTGTCGTTTAATGTGTGTTCTATGATTGCAGACAAGCACAGTGCACCTTAACCATATCAAGTAAAGAGACTCTTTTTACACAACCAAGTCTTTTATTCAGCCGACGTTTCGGTGACCGTCTGTCACCTTCCTCAGGGCAATTCTGACTGGTTCACATTGCACTGCAGCACAGGTGTCGCTGCTACAGAAGCTGCTACAGATGTAATCCAATCAGGCATTTGTGTAAATATTGTACATTTCGGAATGCATCAAAAGCAGCAACTCCTGTGCTGTGCAATGTGAACCAGTCAGAATTGCCCT